GGATTTAAGAAGGATTTCCTTATTACACCAACAGAACGCTGCGAATTCGTGCAAACTATAACTATATATAATAATAATATACACAATATACGGGTGGTGTAAAAACTTTTTAATATAATTGTGTACGTTGGTATTTCGTATTTCCTTTATAACGACGTGTTCGAACGCTACCTACTTCTAGTGGCTCCTCTTGTTGTCCTGGAAACCTAAGTAATCATGTTTTATTTGTCAGTCGTTTTCCTGCGCATGCTCAGCTGTGTATAATTTGGGTATATCATCTTCAACCTTTTGTAAACGACACTTGAAAATATCACCTTACAGTTTTAAGGGAAATGTACTTTTAAAAAAGTTGATTGACGCAACAAAGTTTAAAAGATATTTGCAAATTTCAACTAAAGTGAGTCAATTTACTTCGTAGTAACATAGAATACCTGTGAAAGTACACACAGAAATAGCTTATAAAATCATCTGAAAAAAACTTGGCTGTTGACAGACGCTTCAGTGTAATTTATCATATAAATAAAGATCTTTCAAACAACAGGTACATTTAATTTTTCACAAGTGAATATTAAAATAATCTGTGATGAGGAATCGTGACTCTTAACGGACATTAGATATAGTCTGTTTGTTCTACAAATAATGAATGATTTAGGAATTTGTTTGACTAGTATAAAATTGTGTTTACTGAAACTATGATATAGAGGTTTTTTTCAAAAACGATACACGAAATGCGGTTAATGTTTACAACAATTTTCTACGTATACTTTATCATATAAATACAAAGTGGTCTGAAATAATATACAGAAATGTAATTGTTCACGGAAATATTGATACACGAACTATGTTTCTTCTTGGAAACACATCTGACACGTGAAGACAGAGAGGTCTAGGGTTTTAGGTTGATGCTGTTAATGTTTAATACACGCTAGTGTTGTGTGTGGTCTTTATTTTTCAACAGCTTCTTTTAAGGTTCTCAAGAAAGTTCGTGTTGAAAACCGGAACAGCTGGTATATTTTCACTACGTCCATTACTTTTCAATAACATTTCAAATATTTGTTTCCACCGCACTCGAACGCCGGACCAGAATCAGAAATTATTACAGGTGTAGTTGTTTATTTCTCGGAAAAGTGCCGCGGCAAATTAATCCGCGCCCTAAATGATTAATAATTGTTAAACGGATTGTTTTTCCTTACTTTTGTTACGCAAGCTTATTCAATAGTCACTATAATTCGCATTGACTTATACTATATATCAGCTGTGTCTATAGGCTAAGAGCATTTAGTTATAACTTCAATGCATACACGTACGAATATTATAATACAGCTCTAAAAAAAAACTCTTAAAAAGAAGAAACGTCATATGGGAACAGTCGACAGAACGGGAGTATCTTAAGTTTTTATAATAGTTAGTAATCTCTTTTTTTTTATGTGGAACACGAGAACCTGAGCCCCCGGCACTATTTAGTGACCGGCTTTTCTTTAATCAGAGGACGATCTACGGTTTTCAACTGAACTCATGAACGCGTACGTATCAGAGTTGGAAGCGGAGAAGTTTCTTCTAGGCATAGATATCACTCGCGTACATGATATAAAAGTATCTGTACCACGTGAATAGATGAAAATAATACTTATTTATAGAAGGAAGAAGATTTAAATGATGAATGTGTTTAGTTGCAGAAGTGAGTGGTGACAGCTTAAGCTGGTTAATGGTATTTTAGCGCCACTTCACTGTCATTTGTAACTAGAAAAAAAACACATATATATAGAAGTTAATGACAGGTTGAGAAATTGTAATTCCGACAGTGTCAAATAAAGCTTCAACATTTTACTGATTTTATAGAGTTCGTTAGTTTCTGTTGTCTCAGTTAAGTAATCTCAAAGAACGATATTCGTTGGTAAAGTAATATGTATATAATATTCCTTTTTAGATTCCTAAAGGACGGTTACGTTTTCTGTCGATAAACATGTTTAATCCTCTAATCTCCTCCCAGATTAACTAATCTTCCATTTAATTATTAACTAATTGAAGAAGCATTCTGGCGAGATTAAAAATGATAATCATAAAATATACGTAGTCTGGCGTGTGTACGTAAAATATACGTAGTCTGGCGTATGTACGTAAAATATACGTAGTCTGGCGTATGTATGATTTCATCGTTGGAAAATAGAAAATAAATAGGACAGCATGTAAAAAAAAGTTTCTTATCAAACAGGTACAAGATATTCTGGGTATTTCCCTCAGGGGCGGATCCAGAATTTTCGTGAGGGGGGGGGGCATGTTCCACTCTAAGAAACTGAATACTTTTTGAAGTTAAAAATCTCTCTCTAAGTATCAATTCCTGATACTCCCATGTGCAAATTAGCAAAAAGAAATCTGAATGACCAATACTTTCTTCTGCAATCGAAAATATCCTTGCTTTACTTCATTTGTGGAGCTGACCGTTAGAATCAGGATGTTGAAGTTTTCCCATAATCATTATATATCGAGCGTTGTTCTTTGATTGTCTAGTATGATAGTCATATCGATGAGAAAGGCTCCTTCAAAGACCTGTGTTGGGTTTTAAGTCTATCATAATATTTATGAAGAAAATATTATTTATGGTTATCTTTACTATTTCATACATTTCAGACGGTTCAAACTTCGGATCCCCTTTCAATAGATGAATATGAGTACAGTTTTTATCAGAAAACGATTACATATAGAATAAGCAAAATAAATCCCACCCACCCCGGATTTGTTGCTGAATCTCTTAAGTTAATACACTACAGGTATCAGTCTTTTAGCTTATTATCTTGTATTCGTTTTTGAAAGTTACCGCATAATTAAATAATCATCGCTCATTTGCGTGTGTATTCTGTATATCATCCTTACTAATCTAAACAACCAAATTTTGCAGTGGTGTACCGTCCAAAATATATTTGGTTTCTTCAAATCTACTGATAACAATAAAAAAGGCAACAGTTTGTCAGGGATTTTTGTTTCTGTCAGATTGTTGTTTGTCTGTAGTTTGCAACTATATGCGCACGTCTAACACACACACACACACACACACACACACACACACACACACACACACATATATATATATATATT